GGAATGCCAAGGTCCTCTGGTGCCAGATCCTGCTAAAGCCACAGCTGTTCAATGGCACGCACCTCCTGGTTCCCTTCAGCCCAATGGAGCAATTGTCTTGGAGCACAACCGCCCTCAACAGAACTCCCAAGGAGAGGAGTGCATGCAGCTGTGCAGACCAGCACTTCTCCAGTGTAATGTGCACACCAGATATCTGGGTGTCTTGTCAAAATGCAGATTCTGATTTAGTGGATCCAGGTGGGAAATGGCAAGATGCGTGTTTTCAAGTCTGGTTCCCCTCCCATGTGAGGCTGAGGGTCCTCACCATGAATTTCCAGAAGGTTCTTGGTGCCAGCCTTGCGGTGCAACTCATCGATGTTTTGGGTGATGACCGTGACCTTGCGGCCCTGCTCGTGCAACCGGGCCTCACACTTAGCGATGGCAAGATGCCCCGGGTTAGGCTCCGCACTGTGCATGAGTTCCCGCCGGTAGTGGTAGAACTCCCACACCCGGGATGGATTTTGGGCAAAGGCTTCAGGAGTGGCCAGGTTCTAGGGGTGAGAGAGGAGGTAGGAGTCAGGGAGGGAAAGAAGCACTAATGCTCCAGAGCACAGGCAGCTGTCAGGCGTGGAACCGGCCAACCCTGGAAAACACTGGAAGGCCCCTTTTAGTCTAAAACAGAGGCAAGTAGCCTTGGGAGGGTGCAAGTTGGAACACATTTCCTGTAGGTTCGTGCAGTGTGGCACACACAGGTCAGGGGCCTGGGCACCAGTCTCTGTTCCCATTCTGGGACTAATAGGGACCTTGGAGAAATCGGTTTTAATTTCCCCAATTATGAGGCAGGGAAAATGCAATCTGTCTCATTTACCACTCAAGTAAGTTATTATGAAAAGGAAGTAAAGCAATATGCAGGAAGGGAATTTAGATTGACTCTCCTTTTTCATGGAGCTCCAAAATATGTGAAGCCAGTATCATTTGTCCAGGAAAAAGAAGTGAAATGCAAAACGCCTAACTGAAGTATAATGGCCACAGTTAAAAAATAAGTTTTTAAAACTGTCATTATAGTTACACACACACCACTACATGTATGAAAGTGTATGTATTATATTAACAAAATATATGAAAATAGATTTTTTAAAGTATGATTCTTCTTTTAGGAGAGATAAATCTCATCTGTTGTGAACAAAAAGCAGAGCAGTAGTCATCTGAGGCTGTAAGCTGATGGGGAAACGGTACAAGAAAATCTTTGGCAATGACCAATATATTCCATATCTTGATTGTGGCAATGGTGGTATTATGCATTTTGTTTTACTGTAAAGGTCTCCTTCTACCTGGTAGTAATGTCAGCCTTCATTTGGAGAGTGGATCATCTATGCTGTGGATTATCCACAGCGACCCTATAGTTCCTTCCTTTTTGCCCTGCACTTAGAATACAAGTGGGCTGAAGCAGTTCACAGGTGGCACATCAACCTGGATATATGTCTTGGAACACTGCTGGAGTCACACATATTGACTTCTTTGCTTCTCCACAAACTCTGAGCTGCTATGAAATGACTGCCCATCCCTCTCGAAGCTTCTCCTGACACCTGTTAAGGCCCTCACCCCCTGCTTCTTTAATTCAGAGATTGCTCTCTGTGGCTCCTTTCTTTTGGGATCCCAATGGTCCTCTGTTCTTTCCTGTCCCTTCCTTCACCTTTTTAAAATTATTTTTTACTATTATTTTCAAATATGCAGTACACTGTTTAGACATTTATATAGTTTATGAAATGATCCATGTTTATGAAATGATCCACCTGATTGCTTTCTCTCCTCTGGCTCTCCACCTAGCCATTACATTAATGCTAACTGCATTCCCTATGCCGTGCTTCCCATCCCTGTGACCATCTACCAACTAATTTGCACTTCTTTAACCCTTCACCCCATTCTCCCAGCCCCCCAAACCTTCCTCCCCTCTGGCCCTCACCATATTGTCCTCTGTATTTGTGAGTTTGTTTCTGATTAGTTTGTGCTTTTTGTTCCTGAGGTTCTGCATATAAGTGAAATCGTATGGCATTTATCTTTGACTTATTTCGCTCAGCATAATAACCTCTAGGTCGATCCATGTTGTTGCGAATGGTAGGATTTTATTTTTTTATGGCTGAGTAATATTCCATTGTATATATGAACCATAACTTCTTTATCCAATCGTCTGTTGATGGGTAAAAACTGAGTTTAAAAAAAAAATCATGTCCCCGTAGAACTTATATTTTAATGGCCTTCATATAAAGTTTTGAACATTAAGTCCTAAGCCTTCAATAATTCAACTTTGGTTTTGATATGAAAAGTTCAAAAAAACTATAAAAATGTGTAATGCTTAATTTTACTATCTATAGTAAAGTAATGAATTATTCTAACCAAGGTTTTCTGATTCCCCTTTATTTACTAGAAGAAATCTAATTGTTATCTGAATAAATGCAATCTATACATACCTAGAAAGTAAGGCAAGTTGGCTGCTATGTTTAAATCACAGATCTTAATCATAAAGACATTACGCTGATGCCAAAATGAACAGGACAAATGAGTCATAGTTAATTTCAAAACTTTGTTCTCTGGGTTCCAGGCACGAGTATAGGTTCTGAGTCAAACTCTGTTATGGCTTAATTCAGAAGAGTCTCTTAATGCTCTGGAAACACTACCGACCTGAGATTGCCACTTTCTCCAATAACCTCCAGCTCCTCTGAAGGTCGGAAGCCCACTTTCAGCACTAATGCCAGCCCCTGAAATGACGACTATGTTCTTGGCTTTTGCAAAACACTTCCGAAAATCGGCCATATCTAAAGAGAAAATAAAATATCAATCCAGTGCACCATTTGGATATTTGTATCTCATATTAATTGTCTATACAGGTCTCCCCTGTTACCTGAAAGCAGAGCATTCCTATGAAACCTTGCATAAAATGAAGGAGCAACTACCTTAGGATGCATCTTGCTAATGGATACACAAAATAAATGGACATAAAGTACCAATGCTTATAGACACGGTTCAAAGCTATGTGCTAGAAGCTGAGGTACTGAGTGTAAAGTCCATGTGAGTGTGTATGGACTGATCTCAGGTCCCCTGGACCCCAAAGGCTTCCTTTCCTCCCCAAGTTCACTTCCCTTTGGGGATCTTGCTAATTTCAGCTTCTCTCAGCATCATTATCAAAGGTGAGGACAAGGGCCCCTCAACTGTGAAAAAGTGCTCTGCTCCAAACCTGGACACTTGACTTTCTCCTTTACAGCTCAAATAAGAGTTAGAGTTTTCAGCAAGACAACACAAGACACCTGAGGTAACAGAAGGGAACTGAACACAGAGGATAACATGGCAGCAGATAATTGTGGCTACAGACCATGGCTTACTTTCCAGGTCGAAGGCTTTGTTCCGTAACTCCAGGCACCCTCCCCCGATCTCAGATCAACAGGGAGGGGCAGCAGCCATCATTTAGTGAGGGCTCACTGCACCCCAGGCTCTGTGCCAAGTACTTTATGTGGATCACTAGGTAGAGTGTGCCCCTTAAATAAATGTCTTCATCTCAGGAAAAGAATGAGGAGTCAGACGTAGAATTGCCACCATATCTCTTGGGTAGCAGAGAGTAGGTTAGAGCACAGCACATGGCTGAGCAACACTCTTCTCTACCAGGTACTGAGGCTCTGCAGGCCCGTATAGGTGGGGTAAGTAAATTATGTGGCCCCAGCTGGCCAAGCCTAAGCCATACAGAGCTGAACATAAGCTGCAGAGAGAAGAGGGACTCCCATGCTGCCCTCCACCTGGAAGAACAAGTGCCAGACCAGCATTGCCTGTGGCTGGCCTGAGCCACCGATGCAGACATCTTCCAAGAGTGGCCAACCTGTGCTAAACCACTGAAGATTTCAGCGAAAGTAGAAGTGAGTTCTTCAGCTGATGGAGTAGGCTTTCTGGTCTTCCCCCTTGGAGGTAGTGGTAACCATGGTGCCCCTGAGACTGAAAAGTGTTTACTCTGAGATGGAACAGGTGACTGGCAGGATGGAGGAAAGGAAGAAAGATAGTGGGGTGGAGGCTCACTATAGACTAAAGGCCCAGATATGTTAATTTGTACGTTTTCCTCAGGTAAAGATATACATCATTTCTGTCCAGTAGCAAATTTAACCCCATATTACCCTGTAGGACAGTCTCCAGCTTTCTTCCCCTGCAGAGGTGAGGGGTTTAGAACACAAACTATGTGTGAAAGGCTTAAATGCAAATATTCTGGGAGAACAAAATGTCTTAAATGGACTTGCCTATTAAGAGATCATCTCTGACCTGTCCTGGAAGAAGGGCCTGCCTCAAGAGAAAAGGATTGAGTGGCTTTCTACAAAATCTTGCCCCACACCCACTTCAAATTCAATTCAAAGACATTCCCCTCTAAGTGTAGGAACTTTCAGGTACTTCAAATTCCACTGGAGATGAGGAGGTGGCAGGTTAACAAAGACCTACCTGAATTTGGACGAGCCATTGTTAGGCAAATCTTGGTTCCTGTGGCAGCTGGAGACTTTAATCCACAATATAGCTGGGAAATTAATCTCCTGGGGACAACCTGGAGAGGTCCCATCAGATTTTCTTTGTAGTATGAATTCTTGAGATGGACTTTAGAAAAATCACAGAAATAGAAACAATCAGAAAATACTTGTATTTCTACAAATGTATATATCTTTAGAAAAATCACAAAAATAGAAACAATCAGAAAATACTTGTATTTCTACAAATGTATATATGTACACATATGTATATATGTATGTATGTGTATGTGTGTGTATGTATATATATAGATATACCTCTAGGCTCTCTCATATATACATACATGAATGCCCTTAACAAAAATCTTTAGTAACAGGTCTTCATGGTACTCAGCCTCTAAACTAGCTATTTTCAATTTTTGCTCTCAAGCGCACCTAGGTGCCCTGGAACAGTGTTCTCTAAGTGTAGTCCCCAGATTAGCAGCAATGGCATCACCCGAGATCTTGTGAGAAATACAAAGTCATGGGCTCTACCTCAGGCTCACTGAATCAGAATCTCTGGGGCTTGGGGCTCAAACTGTCTTCTGGTGATTCTTATGACTGCTTAAGTTTCAGAACCACTGCCTTAGAGGTTTGGGAAGGGATGAGATGTGAGAATTCATTTGAAAAACAGGTTCTACTGCTTTTTAAAAGGTATGAAAACCACTGGCCTCTTTGGTTAAAACACAGTTTCTATGAGAATGTAAATTCTGAGAACTGAACTAGACAGGAAAGATATGTACTAATACAACAAATAGGATAAAGATGACATGTCAAAGAAACTTGTGTCTTAAAAAGCACATTTAGTAAAATTTTATCTATCCCTGAGGAATTTTATAAAACAGACAAAGACAATATTTGGATCAATATTTGCATCAAAAGGGCAATTGGCAAAGCTGGTGTCTATCTAGTGGGTCAGATTGTTGGAAGAGCTCAGGATTAAAGTCTGCAGATATAAGAAAAATAGAAAAATAACACATTTCCCAAAAGTTTACGATCCCTTTGGAAGATAACCTATCAAAATTACAAATGCATTTTCTCTTTGGCCTAGCAATCCCAAGTCTGGAAATTTTTACAACAGTGAGTCCTGCACACATCCAAAATGACGTATCTACAGGGTTGTTCCTTAAAGCACAGTCATTAATAGCAAGAGACTAGAAAAAACCCAAATGTCCATCTGCAGGGGACGGGTTCAATACAATGGCGCATTCACAAAAACATGGCTGCAGCAAAAAAACAATGTACATATGGTTCTACTTACATGACATTTGGGAATAAACAAAACTATGGGGACAGAAAATAATATATCAGTGTTAGCCCAAGCAGGAAGGAGTGAATACACAAAGGAGCATGATGGGATTTTGAGGGATGATGGAATTGTCCTACATATTGATTATGGTGATGGTTACATAATTATGTCAGTCAAAACCCATAGCACTCTACACTCAAAAAGGGTTAATTTTACTATATGTAAACTATAAAATAGTTTAAAAATAAAAACAATGGGTATAGAGTTTTAGTTCTTCAAGATAAAGCGTTCTGGAGGTTGGTTGCCCAACAATGTGAAATGTACTCTACTGAATTGTATCCTTAAAAATGGTAAGGATGTAAATTTTATGTGTATCTTACTACAATGAAAAAAAAATGAACCAAGTATAATTAAATGTGATTTGCCAGTGATTCAGCATTTATAAGCAGACAGCTCACTGGCTTCAGAAGTGAGTGTTGGCATCAGAAGGTCAGAGAATATTCAGTTTAAAAATAAATGTCTGGAAGATGATGCTCACAAACCTGTTAGTGCCAAATCAGATTACTGAATTCCATAAATTATCCCAATGTTCAGATTTCACATTAAAAAAATAAATGAAGACATTCTCTCTGATAGTAAAGATCTCCAGAATATAATGTCGAGGGGGAAGTCAGGTGCAAATAGTGTTGTGTCAGAGAAATAGAAGGGGATATGAGTATATACCATAGTACTTAATTGCACTTACTTTTTTAAAAATGGAAAGATTTCTATGAAATTAGTAAAAAGAATTTGGGGTAGAGTGGGACACAGGATATATGGAGACAAGTGGAAGCAAGAATTTTCAATATATATGTTTATATAGTTTGCATTGTCAATGCTCTGTAGCAAAATACCAGGCACACGTGTACCTCTAGTTGAGCAAATTGCAAGGAGAGAGAAGCAGACCATGAAGAACTGAAGGGTGTCTCAGTAAAAGTTAGAAAAGATTATAGGATTTGGGCTTGTGTTAGTTAAGGTTGGAGAGGGTTCAAGGAAGTGAGGCTTCACCTTACTCTGGGTTGGATGCTGTCAGGCAACAGGACACATTGACTGGACATTTTAGTGAATCTTATCTAAAAGGTGGAAGGAGTGAAGTGAAGCTCTATAGAGCTGTCATTACTCAATAAACAGCAGGCTCTGGTATAAGCCAGGATGTTTTGTCATTTTTGTGGTTTAGACATGTTCTTGTTATTGTCTGGGTTCACATCTATTACAGCGTTGTCTTATTTTTGTCCCAACTGACCACGGTCACAGGTAGCCTTGTCTAATGTTGGTGTTCTGTGAAATTATATACATTCGACAGAACGTCAAGGCCTATCAGACAGTGCTAGGCCAAAAAGTTGAAGCAAATCAAATGTCCATCACCTTATAAACCGATAAATGAATTGTGGTCCATCCATACAATACAGTTCAGCAACAAAGAAAAAAAGAAAAAAAGAAAAAAATTGCTTATACAGGTAACGACATGGATGAATTTTTAAAGTATTAGGCAATAGTAATTTGCAATGGGAAAACCTGGCAGACACTACCTTAAGCAAGTGATTGAATTTAACATCCTCAGTAATGACATACTGACTTCATCTACCTCCTGATAGGATGAAATGAGGAGGGCAAAACATCACTTGTGAACTATTTTCCCTCAAAATGCATTAGTTCAGCTTAATTGTAAAAAAACATCAGACAAACCCCATTTGTCTACAGCAAAACTGGCCAGTATTCTTCAAAAAAGTTATTAAGGTTATGAAAGATAAAGACTGGGGACTTGTCCCAGGTTAGAGACTAAGGAAACAGGACAACTAAATGCAATGTGAGATGCTGGATTGGATTCAAGGTATGAAAAGGATCATTAATGGGAGAAATGGCAAAATTTGAATGAAATCTGCAAGTTAGTAAATAGTACTGTACCAATGTAAATGTCCTGGTTTAGATCCCAGTAGTCTAATTACATAAGATGTTAACCTTAGGGGAAATTGGGTAAATCGTACATGGGAACTCTGTGTACTATATTTGCAACATTTCTGTAAACCTGAAATTATTTCAAAATAAAATTGCTTTTGATAAAAGAAAGAAAACCATTATGCTAAGTAAAAGAAACCAAACTCAAAAGACTAATACTATTTAAGACCATTTATATGATATTCTGAAAGGGCAAACTAAAGGTACAGAAATCACAGCTGTGGTTTCCAGGGAATGGAGAAAAGGAGGAGGCAAGGAGGGCCAGGGAACATTTTTAAAGCAATGAAAAATTCTGTCTCTATTTTGTGGTGTTTTTTCAAAACTCACAGAACCTTACAATAAAAAAAAAGTTGAATTTTATAGTATGTAAATTATATTTGAATAAATCTCACTTAAAAACAAGAAACAAGCATGTCAAATTTTCATTGTAACTTGTTTCAGCTGTAACACACACACACACACACACACACACACACACACACACACACGCACGCACGCAGCTTAGAATAGTCAAAAAGAAAAAAATGATGTATGGTTGGTTTCCAGAACACCTCAGAGGACAAGACCCTCTGGCTGCCTGGAGTCATTCCTTCAGAGAATGCAGATCAGAGGCAAAGGGCCCTTGGCTGACTGGCTGCCAGGGGGAGAAGGTGGGCAGTCTCAGATGCCACGACAGCTCAGGAGGGCCACTCTGGAAAGCAGCCTGCAGACTGCAACAGTGGGGATGCCTGACCATCATGAAAATCTCCCCAGTGCTCTATTTAAAGGAATTGTAGGAGGAAATGGCTTGGCATGATTTTCAACCAGGATGAGCATGATAAGCTTTTGGCAAACTTCGATTTGTTCAAAAAACTATTTATTTGGAATACCTCAGTAAGGGACAAATGAGGTGTTACTATAGTTTTCTTTATTTTTAAATTATGGAAAAATTTAAACATATACAAAAATAGAATAATATATGAACTTATGTTCCCATTGCTCAGCTTCAATAATTATCAGATCTTTTTGAATCTTTAAGATATTGTCACAGATGATATTCTTAAACTTGTACATCTTTAAAACTGAAGATTAAAGTACCCAATACTGCCTAACTTTAATAAAACCTCCTTATATGTTGTATGGTTACTTATGCTATCACTTTGAGTTTAATATATACCTTTGATTATTTCTCTCAAAGATGAAGATATCTGATTCTACTGTTGCTTTCTAATATTTTAATTCAGACCAATTTGATCCAGA